TATGGATTAAAACAATCAAGCCGTGTATGGAATGATACTATTAACAACGTTTTGTTGAAGATGGGGCTTACTCGATCCGAAACCGATCAATGCATTTACTACAGAATTCAGAAGGATGAAATAACATACATCGCAATTTACGTAGATGATGTTTTGATTTTGTCAAATAAATCCAGTCATATTGAACGTATTAAGGAATCTCTGAAGAAAAATTTCAAAATGCAAGACCTGGGTGAAGCTTCTTCAATGTTGGGAATTCGGATTTCTCAAAAGGACAACTATATCAAAATTGACCAGACCCAGTACATTCAAAATGTTCTTAAGCGTTTCAGATGGTCGACTGTAACCCAATAAAAACTCCAGTTGATTGTAGTACAAAAATGTCAAAGGAACTTTGTCCTAAAACAAGGGAGGATGAAATATACATGTCTAAAGTTCCTTACATGCTTATTATTTGCTGCAAATGTAACTCGCCCTGACATCTGTTACATCGTTAACGTGCTGAGTAGATATTGCGAAAATCCTGGAAAAAGTCATTGGGAAGCATGTAAAAGAGTGATGCGTTACTTAAAAGGAACCATGAATAAAGGTATAGTTTATGCACAAGATGGAGAAGAAATAACTGGATATTGTGACGCTGATTGGGGTAGTGACGTGGATGAAAGACGTTCAACTACTGGATATGTGTTTACTTTCCAGTCAGGTGCTGTGTCATGGGCTACTAAAAGGCAGAAAACTGTTGCTTTGTCTTCAACGGAAGCGGAATTTATGTCTATTGTTGCGGCCATTCAAGAAGGTATTCGGCTAAAACGTTTGGAGAAAGAACTCAGTGTTAAACCTTCAAAAACTATAGTTTTGCACCGTGATAATAAGGGAGCTATTCACGTTGCTCAAAATAATGCCTATTCGTCTAGAACGAATCACATCGATATCAGAGTCAAATTTATACAAGAACGTTTGCTTGATGGTACTATTAACTTGCAATACATATCTAGAAATGAAATGGCTGCTGACATGTTTACAAAGGGCGTTACTTTCAACAAATTATTAGTTTTTACGAAAGTGTTTGGCTTACAATAACAATTTATCATATATTTAAAACTATGTTACTATAAGTAGATATATTACATGTTCAGGGGAAGTTTTGAAATAAACTTGTAATATTTATACCTGTTATATACAAATGTTAAATTGATATAGTAGGCTTAGAGATACAAACTGAATTGTCATAACGATAGATACATATTGAATAAAATTTTTCCTGACTTCATCCTAAACATTCAAAACGATTAGTTGAATTTATTCTACCACTTCCACATTTACATCAGTCTCGAATTCTACAAGGTCAGATATCAATGAATCCCCCCAAGTGTTGACGACCCAAGCAATCCCCCCTGGACCTCTCTTTAGCCAATTGTCCTTCTCTCGACGACGTTAATGCAAGCCTGGAGAGGCAGTCGGATCTTCTCCTCAATATTCTAGAGAAAACCGGCTCCTCCGCCTTAGTCAGGAGAGCATCCCGAATCAGCTCTGGGATGACTCGCCCTTGTCGGACGAGGATGACATCATGGAAACTACGGTGATTAGAACTACGGTGATAAACACAGTAGCAACCATGGTGTCTCCTCTGAAGCAAGGAGGGTCCTCCCAGTTGCTGACTAGGGAAGTAAACCCTGGCAAGGTTGAGGATCTCGACTCAATCTCCACGGCCTCCAGTGATGTCGCGAGACTACTCAGGCAGTTGGCTGTCGAAACAGATGCTGGCACCGATGAGACTCGTTAAGATGGATGACTCATCAGTACAATTATCTGCTAGACAAGCCGACGCTAAGGAGATCGCTGCCAAGAAATGTGTCGGAGAGCAGTAAATTACTGTAAACGATACATTGGGCGGGACAGGGTCTCCATCACGGGGAAGGAGTTCCTGTTAATCAAGAGGAACTTCAAACTCATTAGGAAGTTCTCTAGGAACTATCCTGATGATATTAAGAGGGACTTTTTGATTCATATGATCCCACGACCCAGTACTAGGACCACAGCGGTAGTCCCTTCTAAGAAGAGAAAGAGAGCCCATAAAAAGGCCTCCAAGAAGACCGATAAGGCACAACCGCCCTCTGTCAATCCACCTTCTGCCTAATTGCCAAAGCTGATAGCCAAGGCGGTGACAATTGGGCAGTCGATAGTGGACAAGCAGAAGGTAGCGAACGTGAAGCAGGTGCCTGCGTCTGCTGGGCATACCTCTGTAGTAGCTGCTACCCCGGGTGCCAAATCTCGGCCACAGCCCACGGCTGTCAAGAGAATGAGGTCCTCGGAGGACCAACAACCTGCTGCAAAGAGGGCCACGCAGTCGTCGGCCGTACAGAGCTCTGCTTCTTTTGCTTCGGTGGTAGCGTCGAAGGAGAAACCTGCCAAGAGCATTGTGGGGTGGAAACCAAACACGCTGTCTCGAAACAGGTAGCCCAGACACCCACAACGGAGCAAAGCGACTCTGCTGATCCGAAAGAGGTTCCGGAAGATCTGCGGGTAGCGATCATCGACCGAGCTGACCCCGACGGGTTTATCAGTGAGGATAGATGGGAGCTGGTCGACAGCTATCTGAAGGACCTCTTCCTATCCGACGAGGTTGATCGAGAGAGCCTGCGGTTTGGCCTGACCTCCTCTCACAAAGGGGTAAAGGTTGTTGATTGTCGCACTAAAAAGACTTCAGATTTTCTTAAGAGGACAATCAACAGCCTGGACCCCCTTTGGGAGGGTGGTCGTCTGGCAGCTGTAGCGGTCCGAGAGATACCGAGCGGTATGGTAACCTCGGTGTTTATCCCAAAACCTTTCAAGGGGCTGGAGAAGACACTGAGGTTATTGGAGAAGCAGAACGACGGCCTTCAGACGAGGAGATGGAGAATCCTCGTTTGAAAGGAACGGCGGTGTAGTCGCGAAGTTCGCTACTAATTCTGCGGGAGAGGAGTACTTGAGGAAGAACAAGGGTGAGCTTGTTTATGGAATGGAGAAACTTTGTTTCCGCCTCCCAACTCCAAAACAATAAGCAGGCAGCAGCAAGCACTTAACGTGATTCAGATCAATCTGCATAACTGTAGAGCAGCGGAATTATACACTGGCTGTATACGACGATTGTCTTACCCATACTTACTTATGGCTGCCTTGTCTGGTGGCAGGGGGTGAATAAAAAGAATCTGCTGACAAAACTGAACTTAGTACAGCGATCGGCTTCAATTCTGATCACCGGAGCATTAAGAAGTACACCACAGGCAGCCTTGAATGCAATCTTGAATCTCCAACCATTGGATATTCTGATCAAATTCCAGGCGGCCAGGTGTGCCCTGAGACTCCGGGAAACAGATGCCTTGAAATCGCTGAACTATGATCATGCCACCATCCTAAACATAACGCCAGGTTATGACCTTTTTAGGGGGGATAGTCATATCAGTGATTATATTCCCCCCATAGGGACTTTAATGACATAAAAGTTGAATTTCCTAGTAGGGAATTCTGGACTAGTGGCTCCCTACCTCTGCCAGGTCTGTCAATCTTCACAGACGGGTCCAAGATGGAGGAAGGTACGGGCGCAGGCGTCTACTGTAGGGAATTAGGTATACAGAACTCATATAAACTCAACAATGACTGTAGCGTTTTTCAAGCAGAGATTCTCGCAATCACGAAAGCGGCCGAGATAGTAAAAGCACTTAATGCTGACATTACGGGACCGGTGACTGTTTATGTAGATAGTCAGGCGGCCCTGAAAGCGTGAAGTCGCAAACTATAAACTCGAAAGCAGTTCATGATTGTAAGACCGCTCTGAATGATATACGACAGATAGTTGGGCTATGCAGGGTTCCAGGACATAACGATAAGTGGGACTCCAGTGGAGAGGATTACTGGAATTGGAAACAATTGAGCACATCCTCTGTAAATGTCCATCGCTGATCAGCAGAAGACATAAACAGTTTAGATGTTATGAAATTGATAATCTAGTCTTCTTCTCCAAAATAGACCCTAACCAAATTCTAGGCTTTGTCAAAAAATTGACTTGGCTAAAAAAATCTCTCTTCCGCCCCCTTTTTTCTCACTATTCTTCTCTTTACTCTCCCACTATCTTTTTTTCTTTTCTTTATAGGTACACCTATACATAAAGGATGATCACAATGGACATAGTTTCCGAGTGGACGGTTGTTACAACAACCGTACATCCCTAACCTAACCTATGTTTTATGTGAAGTAGTAATCTTATGTCCAAATTTCATTTATCTATCGACCCACTCAAATCTAAATTATACCAAACATAGTACCAATTAGAGTATTCCGTAAACATAGGTACAAATTTCCAAAACTACCTACATATCGCTATCCAACGGTAATGTTAATTTCAAATTTCAGGATTCCAGCTTTGTCCGTTTTTCCAAATTCAAATAGTACCACATTTAGTACAGTTTTGTACATTTCGTATACATCAGTACACGCTTTCAAAACCACCTCCTTATATCGACCCTACTTCTCAACTTTGATTCGCATTCCAATTTTCAATGTTTCACATACTTCCTAATTTCATCTATTAGAATAAATGTTCCTTTTCGATCTAGTAGACATTATCAACTATTATATGTAGATTTTCATCGCACAAATTATTCTATGGGAGATCCACTTAGATGTGTATTTTTTGCATGCATGTAGAACTTAGAAAAATGAATATAATTGTACTTTTAAGAATTTTGAAGTAGATTCCGTAACTGGTTTTCTATTTCCTTTTCATATTCCATCATGATGAAGATCATGGTCTGTCCGCAGGGATGGGAAAGTGTGGGACCATTCGATAAAAATACATTCACTACATTCACTGCGCATTCTCTTTGTTTTTTTTTTTTTTTTTTAATTGGTAAGTTTTTTTCTATAGAAGTTAAGTAAGTCTTATTTAACGTTTAGCATTTTACTAATTGTTATGAAAAAAAAACATATCACATTTTAAAGACTTACTAAATATAAAACATTACCTTGTCTTCTAACTCTTTCAGAAGAACACCATTCGTTATTGAATATCCAACGCCGTCATTTCGCATGCACATCACTGCTCTGGCCAAATACTCAATTCTCTGCTGTAGGGGAATTCCATCACTAACCGTTGATGCTAGATTATCTAAAATGCGAGCTGCTTGTGCATGATATCCATTCTTTTCATAATATTTCCAAAGAAGATCAATTAAGTTTATATTGTCAGCATTTCGAACAACATTACGTCGCAAAAATTCTCCTAATGACTGTTCTGTCAAAGATAATAATTCAGATAGCATATCATGGACCAATAACCATTCATAGACGCAGACATGTAAAAGGGGATCGTTTACTTGTACTGCCATACCAACAATCTCCATAACATGTGAATTTGAGTTTCCACTTGCATTTCCACAAGGATTATATAATATATCATGGTTGGCGTTATTGTTACAAACTGATTGAAAAACGTGATCAAGCATAAGTCGCACTTCTTTGTAGCAATTCATACTGAAATGAGTTACAAACAAATAAAGGTACTGATATCTATTATGAAGAGATAAGACTTACCGAGCTGCATATGAAGCATATCCTTCTCTGTCATCCTCAGGTTCTCCATTTGAGTAAAAATGTATTCCATATTCTTCGGGATCCATTTTAGCCGCACATGTCGAAGTAAGTTCTATAACACCTTCATAAAATCCACTAAGCGTAAACTGAAATGTTAAAACATTTTTTATATACATGTATAGTTACCACCTTATAACATTTATTTCCTATTGGCCAGTTTTGAAAACGGTATATTAGTACATTCGATTGTTTTAGCACATATTGTAATTTATCACATTCCTTTGTGTGTGTGTGCTGAGGATCAAATCAAAAAAGAGTATAAAGAAAATCATTTGGTTGCTGTGGAGCAACTTGAAAGGAGTTGATCAACATTGTCCTAGGAGGAAGCTGAAGGTAATTGGTGATTCGTTGTTTTTTTTTTTTTTTTTTTTTGGGACAGTGGCCAAGCTAATGGTGAGGTTATGGACGCCATTGCGGCCATGCCTCACACAGATAGTCGAAGTGGTGATAGACTAACGGAAAAAGAGGGTGTACTTACAAGGCTTTTATGGACACTGAAACTATTAAAGTGCGGTTCTATGGAGATTATCATACGTCATGAGTGCTTTTAGTTACACAGTGCTTGTGGTGGATACCTTTTACCCTGCAGTCGGGCAGTGCTAAAAGTGTGGAAGATTGGGACACACTCAGATGGGATGTCGTTCCAGGGAAACATGTCTGAAATGTGGTGTGGATGGATGTGATAGGAGGAAATAGAACTTAACATGATAAAAGATGCCTAAAAAAGAAGTCAGAACAGATTTGAAATTTTGTGGGATGATAATAATTTTCCACCTCTCTCTGCAGGTGTGAGGAAAGGTGCTGGTGAGAAGCAGATGGGGAAAAGCAAAATAGATGACGATGTGAATGCGATTCTAACTCCGATACTTAAAGAAAGACAACAGAACTGAAAAAATCACATTACAATTATTAAAATTTATGCAGGATATCTTCAAAAAAGAAGATAACCATGTGGCGTTAGAGGCAATGTCTCATTTCCAGGAAATAATTCAAAATTGTGGAGTTCCTGTGAATGGGGAAGGCGATAAGCAAAACATAAATCAAAATGGTGAAGAATCTCAAGGCATTTCAGTTTAATTTTCAATCTTTGAAACATAATAAAAACTATGTACAATTCTTTACTAACAAAAAAAATTTTGATATATAATCTTATCAGAAATCTTTGATGAGGACAGAAGACAAAACAATAAATTGATTAGCTTCATCTTAGTAAAAAATTTAGACCTGATGTACTACGGAGGAGTAGCTATCGCTCTAAGAAAATAATTAAATTCGCCAAAATTATATACGAAACGGAATATGATTTTTTAGTGAAGACACAAAATCTTCTTTAATTTAGAATTGTATAAAAATACTACTTTTTATTTACCCCTGTTTTGGTCCTTAATTCTTCGTTAAAATGTATGCGCTACGGTTTATTGCAACCTTGGTTTAGCGCCTTTGACATTTTAACGAGTAATTAATTGTCACTTGTTTTGCCGCCTCCTTCTAGCATCAAGGAGTTCCATACTGTCATTCGGACAGACAACACGCATATCGTTGCGAGCACATATCGTTGTGCATAGTAAGGTAATTTCGTTACCAACAACCAAACAATCAATAAACCATTGAATATTATTACATTGAAAACTATTGTGTTTTTATTCCTTCTACCCTACGGTCCACTGCTCCACGCATTCGGCGTACTAGCTCCCATCGGCCGAACCCCTCTGAGCTAAAAATTTTGTCAATTCAAGCCAGATTAAACTATCGAATTGATATCCTACTGGATTTTGAAACATTCATCCCAACATATTATACAGTCCACAATTGTCAAAGGTACGTATAGTGCAGTGTTTGTGAGCCCGCGACCATAACAAAACACTCGGTTTTGTTCAAAGATCGTTTTGCAACGTCACTTATCCCCTTTTGTTGTTTTCCCGCCAATCGTGGCTTCTAATTTGGATGCTTGCATTCGGCAGCATTAGAATCAAAACAAAAATCAAAAATACCATAATCGCAAAAATCGTTGACATTCTTTGTTTGTTCGGTTTCTTAAAACAACAAAACATATAATAGTTTGTTTCCTTGATTCTCTCTTCAAGCATTGTTGTTGTTAAAAAGTTAAATTTTCTCCTTCAGCTTTTCTACATAAAGCAAAAAACTGCAATATTATTTCGTATGTTTGTCTTCAATAATATTGCTTATTGTTTTTGTTACATTTATTCTCATTTTTTCGTTGTAACAAGAGTCAAATTTCTCGTCTGTTTACTTTGTCGTAAACAAATACTACACTGTGTCATAATGTTCGGCGAACATTGACTATGCCCTGCGTAAAGCGCTGAAATTGCGGCACAGGATAAATGCAATAAATGTGTAATTTTTAGGGACAGCCTTACGGCCTGTAAGGCTTTTGCCCCGATAATTCTGACAAATTCCTGGTTGCGGAGTGTCATAACATCCTGGAAGGATCAAGCATAGAGAACTGTCAACTAGTTTGAATGCCTGACCACAAGAGCATTAGCCTAAATGAAGAGGCCGACTGGCTAGCTAAACTTGCTGTTGAGGCAGGGCCACCTATGGAGGTGGGGCTTTCGCCCAATGAGTCGTTAAAATGCATTGAGGACAAAGTCTATGCAGACTGGAAAGAAAGCTATAATAATATTAGTTTATCTAAAGGACGTTTTTTCTACGAAGCTACAAATGGAATTTTGGGAATACCATGGATTCAGAAGGTTAATTTTAACCCTTCTGAAATTAACAACGTATTCTTACATAGAATAGGAGCATCTGAGTCTGAATTATGCGTTGTATGTGAACAACCGGAAAATGCACAGCACAGTATTTTTGAGTGCTGTAAGTTTATTAATATAGGGAATAATTACCCTTTTCTTTTTTTCCAACACCAAAACTTAGCAACCCTCCTCCAATCTAATGATATTAACCCTTTCCGCTGTATCATAGGGTTTGCCAAGGAGGCAAAGCTTAACCTTTGATCCTAACTAACTACCCAACCACGTACTGTGATAGTAACGCTGTGATAAATAAGTATTCACCTGATTTGCACTGCATTAATTGATTTTTTACGATCCCCATACACGTTTTTGGCCCAACTTCTGTTTTCTTCCACAGATCTCGATCCTACAGCTCAAACAGGTTTACGTGAGTCGCGTTTTTGTAATTGTTTTTAGTTTTTTGCATGTCAAAATGATGGTAGGTTCGGGCACTTTTTTCAAACGAATTGGCTGTAATTTTATATTTGGAAGTACACCACAGGCAGCCTTGAATGCAATCTTGAATCTCCAACCATTGGATATTCTGATCAAATTCCAGGCGCCCAGGTGTGCCCTGAGACTCCGGGAAACAGATGCCTTGAAATCGCTGAACTATGATCATGCCAGCATCCTAAACATAACGCCAGGTTATGACCTTTTTAGGGGGGATAGTCATATCAGTGATTATATTCCCCCCATAGGGACTTTAATGACATCAAAGTTGAATTTCCTAGTAGGGAATCCTGGACTAGTGGCTCCCTACCTCTGCCAGGTCTGTCAATCTTAACAGACGGGTCCAAGATGGACGAAGGCACTGGCGTAGGCGTTTACTGTAGGGAATTAGGTATACAGAACTCATATAAACTCAACAATGACTGTAGCGTTTTTCAAGCAGAGATTCTCGCAATCACGAAAGCGGCCGAGATAGTAAAAGCACTTAATGCCGACATTACGGGACCGGTGACTATTTATGTAGATAGTCAGGCGGTCCTGAAAGCGGTGAAGGCGCATACTATAAACTTTTTATATTTCCAGTTTTCTTAATTCAGACTTTTTATTGATTATATAATTCACTTGTTACAACTAAAGAGAATTAAGTAATGACTTACAAAAATGACAATAGAAATGTCAAAACAAAAGAATATTTATAGGGTTGCCAAAGATTAAAAACTAAGAATTGTAATACTGATTATAATTAGGATTGCATATGCAACATTTCTTCACCACCTTAGGGGGAGAATAACACGCGAGGCTTTCTCTGTCTGGTTGAACGTCTGGGAACTATTACTGGAGTGGGTATTCGGCGGCCGGTAGGAGTACTATTTTCGACTTCGGATATTTCCTGATCTACTTCGATTAATTGTTCATTCGTCTGTTGACTATCCGAACTATCCTCATTTCTGCCAGATTCTCCTGATGGTGTAGAATGTAAAACCACATTGTTTGAATTTCTCCTCGGCATCTGTCCTACCATTGGTGTACTCGTTCGGCACATAGTACTGGGCTTCGGTCTTTGTGGCACTCTACTGTTATTTCCGGTATGAAGTATATTAAATTTCGCCGATCGAATTTGATCAATATGTCTTTTTAATAACTTTCCTCCGTATTCTATTTGGTAATGCAGGTCTCCTATACGAGAGATGACTACACCCAACAACCACTTGCTCATTCTGGGGTTTCCGGACAAGAAATAAATACGATCGTTTACCCGAAATGTACGAAAATTGCGACTGTAATTCATAAATTGTTTTTGTGTTACTTTTTCTTTGGTATCATCGGGACGAAGTAAATCAAAGCGGGAACGTAGCTTTCGGCCGAAAAATAGCATTGAGGGCGGTTGTCCCGTTGTAGCATGGGGCGCATTTCTATATTGCTGCAAGAATTTATTCAGGTTGACTTGTATTGTTGCTTTCGTTGTTTCCATCGCCTTTAACGCATTTTTTATTGTTTGTACACATCTTTCAACCTGGCCGTTGGTCGCTGGATGATATGGAGCAGACTGTTTATGGTATACAACGCCACTATTTTTCAGAAATTGCCTAAATTCTTCCGATGAAAAGTTCGTCGCATTGTCCGACACCACGGTCTTGGGAACACCATATGTAGAAAACATTTCATCCAGTATTGAAATTGTTGCAGAAGACGTAGATGTTGAAGTCATTTTGACTTCCATCCATTTACTAAATGCATCCGTTACAATTAAAAACATAGAATCCAGGAACGGTCCAGCGTAATCGATATGAATCCGTTGCCATGGTCCACTTGGGTATTGCCAATGGTGCTCTCCGAATTCGGTTGGTTTGTTAGCTATCATGGCACACGCATTACATGCCTTCGCAACCTTTTCGATATCTCTGTCAATTAACGGCCAATATACAAAGGATCGTGCCATTCCTTTTATTTTCACTATACCCAGGTGTGCTGCATGGAGATCCTTGAGTATCTTTTCTCGAAGTACCGATGGAACCACTACCCTGTGTTCAAACGTAAGACAACCTGATGACAGCTGATAATTTTCTTCAGGCGCTGCGTATCCTGCTCTTCTCAGGCAGTGGCCCGACTCCAGAAGTTGGACAATTTTCCCTAAATGTGGGTCTTTTTTAGTTTCCAGGGCAATATGAGATGCTTTAATTGGCAACTGCTTAATCTGCCGGATAACAAATTCGTCGAATTCATCCCCAGGATCCATCGAAGCATCTATCGCCACCAGATTCATATTTACCTGTAAAATGTTGGTGGTCTGCATTATTCTCGAACAGTAGTCAGCATTTGCATTGGCCTTCGTTGGTTTGCAGATTATATTGTAATTAAAGTTACTGAGGAAGTCGGCATAGTTAGCCATGCGGCTAATGCACAGTGAAGATAAACTCTTTTCTGGGTGCAAAATTTGTGAGAGCGGCTTATGATCTGTTACCAGCGTAAAATGTCTAGCATACAGGTATTTAAAGAATTTTTTAACAGCCCATACTATCGCCAACGCTTCTTTGTCGATTTGCGGGTACTTGAGTTCTGTTGAAGTTAACGTGCGGCTGGCGTACGCAATGGGTCGTTCTAAACCATTCGGGAACCTATGTGACATCACCGCGCCCAATCCTGTTTTACTAGCGTCTGTTGCTAAAATCAATGGAAGTGAAGGATCATATGGTGTTAGTACTTGAGGAGATATTAGAGCATTCTTAATTTGTTCATATGCCTCACTCGCATCTTTCGTCCATTTAAATTCTTGTTGAAGTAGCATGTTTCTCAAAGGTCTCGATTTCGTAGCAAGGTCCGGTAAAAATGCGTTGTAGTATGTAGCTTTTCCCAAGAAAAGCTGGAGATCCTCCGGAGTTAACGGTTTAGGGGCGTTTTTGATGGTATCAATATGTTTACTTGATTTGTGTATACCATGAGAGTCGATTCTGTGCCCTAAAAACTCAATTGCTGGTGCTGCAAAAACACACTTACTGCGATTTAAATGAAGGCCATGTTGTTTAATTTTATTTAATATTGCCTCAAGACTCGAAATCATTGTATTAAATGAATCGGCATATACTAAGATGTCGTCGAAAAAACTTAACACGTTGGGAGTATCTCTCAGTACTGCCTCCATGCGTCTCTGCCAGATGGCTGGTATATTTGCGGCACCATAAACTGCCCTCCTTGGCCTAATTAATCCATGAGTAGGAGTGTTCAACGTCAACACATGTGCAAATTCGTCATCTAATTGTAGGTGTGAATAGGCGTCAGTTACATCTAAGTGGCAAAAAATCGTTGACCCTCTCATCTTATGCAATAAATCTTCAATTTTTGGTATGGGATGCTCGTCAATAATAATTTGAGGGTTTACTGTAGGTTTATAATTTCCGGTTATCCGTATTCTTCCTCCTTTCTTTATTACAACATGTGTTGTTGATGCCCACTCTGAGTATTCCACTCGTTCATACAATCCAGATGCAATTTTTGAATCAATTTCCTTGATATACTCTTCACGTAACGCTATCGGTATATCACGTGCCTTTAGAAAAATCGGTTTTGCATCTGGTTTCAAATGAACTTTTGCTGGCGGTCCTATTAACTTCCCTGCAACGTCAGAAAATACACCGTCGAATTTGTCAAGTAATTTCTTGAGAAGAGCTTGCTCACTGTGTGGCAATTCTGGTGTCGCTGTAGTAATACTATTGACCTTGCTTGAAGATTTGAAAAGTTGTACAAAATTTATTTGGTCCACAAACTGCTCGATCCACTCTCTTCCCATTAGTGTGTCAACCATGCCATCAACCACGTATAAATTCAATCTACAAACCTTGCTTCCAAGCTCAACGGTGACAGGCAGGCGACCTATACAATTTATTTGATGGCCAGAGTAGCTAGTAAATTGTCTTTTTGTTGGCAGAAGTTTAAAACGGTCCTTGATTAAATGCATATTACTGTTGCTGATTATAGAACAAGGCGACCCAGTATCCAATTCCATCCTCACGAACTTGCCTTCTATAGAAGTTGTCACAAATTTTCTTCCACTAGTTTTAAAATAATTTACCAGCTCAACTTTATTCAAATTTTCTGTATCGTCGGCAGGAGTTTCATCATCCAATTCCGCTAGGTGGAATGTTTTGCTTCTGCACATCTTGGAAATGTGACCTATTTTGCCACATCGGAAACATTTAGCTTGCCTGAATTTGCACATGCTTCGCGGGTGCATTCCGCCACATCCATGACACGCAGTCTGTACTTCAGCGTCCCTCGGTACCATGCGCCCTTTCTGCCTAGAATATTTCGTTGATGCAAACTGCTCTATTAACATGCGATCTAAAAATTCGGCATAGTCGCAGTGGACTGCGCCCTGCTTTAAACGCAACACAAAGCTTGCAATTGACTCCTCCTCTTGCTGAACTATTTTTCGAAACTTAATACTCTCAGCATATTTATTTCTCTTGCTGTCGAAATGATTTATGAGTATTTCCTTTATTTCACCGAATTTCAAGGATTCTGGGCTTTTTGGACTAACCAAAATCTTCAACGCGTTGTTTAACTCACATCCCATGTGGACTCTGGCGTAATTTGGGTACTCGCTTTCATTTATCTTACTTAATTTCAGTGCCCATTGGAATCTCTCGAAGTAATCTTTAACAGAAGAGTTGTGCTCCGACCTATATTCCGGCATCGAAAATGTTGGGCCTCTCGATGGAACTTCTGTTGGCGCAGCAGCATTTGCAACAGCAGCTTGTGTTGCCTCAACCACCGCTTTCCGTATTGCTTCTGCCAGTGAAGCCGACAATGCCTGCATATCACCTCCTGTAGCCATCCTTTTTGTTTTTTTTTTTCAGACTCACTTCTGACACCAATTTTATATTTCCAGTTTTCTTAATTCAGACTTTTTATTGATTATATAATCCACTTGTTACAACTAAAGAGAATTAAGTAATGACTTACAAAAATGACAATAGAAATGTCAAAACAAAAGAATATTTATAGGGTTGCCAAAGATTAAAAACTAAGAATTGTAATACTGATTATAATTAGGATTGCATATGCAACAAAACTCGAAAGCAGTTCATGATTGTAAGACCGCTCTGAATGATATACGACAAATAGTTGGGCTATGCTGGGTTCCAGGACATAACGATATTGAAGGGAATGAGATAGCCGACGAGCTTGCTCGAGGGGGGTCACAGTCGTCCAGTCTTCTGATTGAGAGATCTGTAAAACCCCCCATCAGCTATTTCATTGGCAGAATCCGTGCGTTCCATTGCGAGGTAGTCGGTAACAGATGGTTAAGGGAACCTGCTTGGCCAGAATTCTCTCGCGTTTTCGCTGCTGGATCACAGCAAGAGGGAGATCAAAATCGTTGTGGGGATTATTACTGGTCACTGCAAAGTTAGATATCTCACTTCTAAGTGGGACTCCAGTGGAGAGAATTACTGTCGTCTATGTGAGGACGAAGAAGAACTGGAAACAATTGAGCACATCCTCTGCAAATGTCCATCGCTGATCAGCAGAAGACATAAACAGTTTGGATGTTATGAAATTGATAATCTAGTCTTCTTCTCTAAAATAGACCCTAACCAAATTCTAGGCTTTGTCAAAAAATTGACTTGGCTAAAATAATCTCTCTTCCGCCCCCTTTTTCCTCACTATTCTTCTCTTTACTCTCCCACTATCATTTCTCTTTTCTTTATAGGTATACCTATACATAAAGGTTGATCACAATGGACATAGCTTCCGAGTGGACGGTTGTTACAACAACCGTACGTCCCCAACCTAACCTACAATAATTGATGATTCCGAGCTGATCTACATAATATGAACTTGTTATACATGGGCAAGTTAACATTGCTAATAATCCCATAATGACACAAAAGGAAACGATTTTTTTACATATCTACCATAACATAATTAACAAAAAATTGTGAAACATGATGACAACGTCCCAAACCATACCCATACAGAACAATGGAGTTACCAGAATTAGAGACAGAAAATACCTCCAAGCAGTAGTTTACCTGGAAAAAACATTTACCCTAACAGCAAGAGGCAAATATGCTTGGGCACGGGGCAGAACAAGGCCAATATGAATAACAAAGCATAGTTTGGAATCAATGATTACAACCAAACACTTAATTTCGCTAGGAATACTGACAACAAACGAACTAACCAAATATTAGGTTTAGAAGCACTAGAGGACCAATTGGTGCTTGGCCAGCCAAATTTAGGACTTTTTCAGAAAAAATTTATTTCTCGAGAAAAAACTGATGGTGAGGCATAACATCAAACATTAACTAAGATGTACTTATTATTTTGACCATGTGTTTATGCATATTTCTGATTAAAGTAATACTTACTTGTTGGCATATGTTTTGCAATGGCAAATTGGGGGCAGCATCTTTGCACAATTGCAAAGCAGTTCTTAACTTTTCCTGTTTTTCTTCCAATGACACACAATTTTTGGAATTCATTAAAATTTCTGTAGCTTTAAATGACACTGCATCCTCATGGCGGTACAAGTTCGGGCATACATCCCTTAATTTTGACGATATGGTGCTAACTGAAGCATTGTCTTTCAGATAACTGTTTATCAGTGCAACGATTAAGAGCGCACACAATTCTGACCGTGATAATATCAAATCACGAAACGAGCATGTGATTAATGAAGACTGTTGTTCCTTAAGTAACTGAGAAGCTAATATGTGGAATTGATGCTCACACAATATTTTCCATAAGGCTAATACTTCACATGTATGTTCTGACAAAATAAAAAAAAATAAAGTCGGTATATTATTAGTTATGGTTAGTGATACTCACTTATAAAATATATCAATGCGGTGAGGGATCTTTTTTCCTCGGCTTGTGCTTGTTCATTTGCATTCACTTGTATATCATTCGATTGGGTAATTATGTGGGGCAAAGTGTTATAACCACCAACAATGCTGTGGTGGTTATTTAAAGAGCGAACGATACCTTAAAAAGCCACAATTATAAATAAATTTATATATGTTGTTTTATATACACACATATTTGTATATTATGTATTATATTTTTCTTACAAGATAAATCGTTAACAGAATTAGATTCCAAAAATTGTTTGACTGCATATAAATCTTCTAAAATAACAGTGCAATCAACTTGACTTAATTTGCTATTGAGTTTTTCATCGACACAGCGAGTTTTCCATATCGGCCGTAAAAGACGAGCTACATATATGTAGAGACTATCGTGTTTTGAAGAGTAGACGACAACATTAATATCATTTACAGATGCGATGCCAGATCCAATCTGATTGGATGGGTTGTAAACTGTAAAAAATGTATGAAAAAAAGGTATGATTTGTATACATTATTAAACTCTTACTCGGACTTAAAGGTTGTTGTGCTGACTGAAAAGGTCTTTGAATGTTAATATTTTCGATTAGTCGATTGATTCCATGTCCAGCAACAGTATTTGGCATGGGCGTGGACATGAACATTTGCGTCATATGATGATTTTCCTGAGGACCAGCACCACCAATATACGAACGGTTTCCTTGTGGGTCCACCCCTCCTCGGTTTAACTGCATTTGACCCGATAATGTTGGCTCTCCACCATACAACATAAATGCTTGGGCTGCCCACATAGCCAAATCAGTTCCGCGATATTGCTCACAGCAAGTCAAAAGCAGTGCAGTAAAACATGCCTCTCTGTCCCCTTGAACCTGCAAAAATTTGAAACTTGTAAATATAAAATCACAAGCAAAAATTAATTAAATACCTGGAAGAACGCCTTGACCGCTTCATGCTGCGGTCCGTGACAAGCGATTAACAATTGCTGTAGGATATCGATAGGTTTCAGCAATGCTATAATGTGTGCACCTTGATTTGTTAATAGCACTACTTTATTTGGTTTTTGTGCTTTACGCAGAATTGACTGAAGATTTGCATTACAACGGTTAGGTACTTCAGACAAACTCCAAACTATTCCATCCAAAGGTATTACAGTTGTAGACTCGGTGAGATGTGTTCGATTTGGAAATGGTGCGGAGCTTATTGACCATAAAATGTCTTGATCTTGTTGAGGAGTTGAAACCAATAGTAAGGTACCCTCATTGTAGTGTGCTAAATGCACTTGCTTGGGCTTGTTAATTGTTGTGTTTGGTGTATAACCAGGTGGAAGACGCACATGCAATAAGTACAAACCTTGCTGCCGTTGTTCGATATGTATTGCGTTTGTAGGTGACCCTGAATTTGCACCTGATTCGGTTGCGTTTCCAATTGGAGAACAATTTGGTACTGCAACTTGGGCACCTTGCTGTGTTTTATTGGCATGGCTATGTAAATAGTTTAACGGCGTGGTAGCAAAAAACAAGCGAACACCACATTGCGTTACAGCTAATAAGTTTAGGTTATTATCATCCTCCATAGTTAATGGGCAAATTGATTTAATAGGTTTCAAAACTGCTGGATCAACAGTTCTGTAAAAAATCGTTTTCAATGTGTATATTATAAAATGTAACTGACAATCAGTATGGATTATTATATAAAAAATTCAAGAATAATTTATATTTTTTTGTGTTTCGCATTATTTAAATTGCCTGATTTTATTAATTTATACATATATTTAATTATGTATATTATATAGTATCAATAGGCGACAGCACTTACAAAATTAGGACACACAAATTAAACTTTCTTAATTTTTAATAAAAAAACAAAAATATTTTATTCATGTTTGTATTTGTATCCTCTGTTTATCCATACCTTCTTAAGAGTAAGAAATATTTGTCTGGATTTGTTCACGCGCGAAAATCGAAATACTATAAAGCCCCGTGGGGCAAAAACCACGACAAAAATGCAATTTGTCCTTTAAAAGGACAAAAATGCCGACGCCGCACAGTGGGAAAAAATACCAATCTAGCGCGCAGAAAATAAAAAAATGAAGTTGAAAGAAACTTTAACACGTTAATGCATTTTTAAAGTAGAGTGTTGAGAGTACTTAAGTCCATATAAAATAATCCGAATTAATAAACTAAAGGAAGGAATAGCTCACAGATATGGAGTAGTTTGAGATCTGGTGGTGTACTTGGTGTAGATTCGAGATGTGATGGTAGTCAAATAAACGTGAACGATATAAATGACTTCTTTGTTCAGTCTGGATCTGTTCCAACTGCTGACAGAGTAGAATTATCTGGGTATTTGGGTGAACAAACTTCTTTTTCCTTTGATTGTATCTTTGAGGAGGATATTTTCAATGCGTTAAATTCCATAAAATCTCAATCTTTGGGAACTGATGGAGTTCCAATAAAGTTTATAAAAATCATATATCCTTATCTGTCTAATTATTTGCTTCATTTTTATAATACCATTTTTACAACGTCGATTTTCCCTACAGCATGGAAGGTCGATCGTGTAGTACCTATACCTAAAGCAAAAGGTTCTTTCTCAGTAGATAACTTGCGTCCAATAAGCATTCTACCTTCACTTTCTAAAATCTTTGAACATCTAATGAAAAGACAAATATTAGATTTTATTGGAAACCAAAAATTGTTAAATTCCTTTCAATATGGATTTAGACGTGGATATAGCACAGTATCTCACCTGTTGCATCTTACTGAAACAATTAGAGAGGCCGTAGATGCAGGCGATAATGGTGTTTTGATTTCGTTGGATCTGTCCAAAGCTTTTGATAGGGTGGACTATGCTACTTTGATTCAAAAATTACGTTATAGATTTTTCTTTGATGATACAGCCTGCAGGCTTATTTTCTCTTACTTAAATGGTCGCTCTCAGTTTGTGGATTTCAACGGAGTAGTATCGAGTGTTCGTTATGTTAGTAGTGGTGTTCCGCAAGGCTCTGTTCTTGGTCCATTGCTTTTCATTTTATACATCAACGATATTAATGATTCAATTGATTTAAATATATGTTCTCCATTTATATATGCTGATGATATACAATTATTTTTTCGATCACCTAGTGATGTTGATTTACTACTGCCTGCAATTAATTCAACGTTGAATACAGTGGGCCAATGGATGGAGCTGAATAATTTTATTGTTAATACCGACAAAACGAAATCAATGCTATTTGGATCAATTCGGCAGAGTGGTAATTCTTTTACAATGTATATCAATGGAAATATTGTTGAAGTAGTTGATATGATTAAATGTCTGGGTGTGTATATTGATTACAAACTTGATTTTAGTTCTCATATTGACTCTTTATTTCCCAGAGTCATATCTATTTTGCGTAGACTACACTGTACAACTTATTACTTGCCCTTTTTTGTAAGAAGACAACTTGCACATGCATTATTGATGTCTGTCATTACATATGGCATTGAAATTATATCTGGCACTAGTCAATTATGTTTAAATAAAATTCTACGACTTATTAATATGGTAGTTCGTTTTGTTTATCGATTAAATTATCGTGATCACGTTTCCAACTATGTTACGGAGTTCCTTGGAGTGCCTTTTCAATCTTTTGTAAATGCACGAGTTATGGTATGTTTTTATAAAATAGTAAAAACTGGGATTCCAGAGATGGTTCACACAAAGTTCACATTTTCTCGATCTACACGAAATCCGCAAGTTCTCCTTCCTCGCTTTGGGTCATTAATCTATGATAGATCGTTTGTCGTTCGAGTAGCTAGGTTGTGGAATAACCTACCAAATAGTTTGCGCAATTTTGCCAGTTCGTCTTATACATTTAAGCAACATTATTTATTGTACCTTCGTCAATAAAGTTAATTTGATTCATTAGTATGGGTGTAATTATCAACAAATTATGGGTATTTCCTCAAATTTTCCTATTTTCTTTGGCTGGGGAGCCAAGTTCAATTTATATCATATATATCTTTGTTAAATTGTAATTAATATGAATTTAGAATATAAAATATTTTTCTTGCTTGGTCATGTATATATGCTAAAAACTTGTACTTAAAATGATGTCGACTTTGGTCTAAAAGACTTATGGGCATTAGAATGTATGAAAAAATAAATAAATAAATAAAACGGAATAACGGTACATTTAAAATAGAATTTTTTTCCAATGTTAAAAATTGTATTTTTTAGCTATAAAATTGCGATGGTCGTGTGCATTCTGTGAATATATTATTATAAAATTTTGTCCATTTTTGATATATAGTATTGGTATTTAATTAAATGGTATAGTTATATAACCCATAAGTTATTTTAATTTAGGTGTTTCGGGCTAAATATATGTAAGGTCCGTTTTTTTAAATTCCTTCAATTAAAATAGGGGTTTAGTATGGAGTGCAGTCGAGTTCAACGTTGATTTTTGTTTTATTTTTCTTGTGTGTCTGTCTAGAAGATCATACTAAATTTTTTCCTGCGACTTCCTGCGACTCTCGGATTTATGGCAATTTTTTGAAAAAATGTCAATTTGGTGTAGGAAGCTTTTTTTAAGGTTTTGTTTAAATAAAATTAAAAATTTGTGAATTTTGTTGATATAATTGATCAAATATGAACAGCTAAGGTTCCAGAGTAATGGGTGTGAGTATTAAAATGAGGGTATTTAAGTAAGCTGCTCCAAACTCTGATACTAAACTCATGCACTGAATATACATTGATTCCAAATGTCTTTCTAAATAAAAATTGAAATTGCAACGAAATTGGTTGTAAGAGTCTTCTCAAATACCGCAGGTAAAGGGTCTACTTTATGAACCCTAAAAAAATATCATTGGTGTAACATTCATATATACACGGTTTTACCTATATATATGGTTTTCGCTATAAGCAAACGGAAATGGAAGGCACCTCCAAATCAAATTTGTACCAAATATAGTACCATATAGTACTTTTCGTACACATGAGTACACGCTTTCCAAACTCTCCTCATATCGACCCTTTTAGCTCAATCGATTCACACGCAACGAAATTGTACCAAATTTAGTACATTTCGGATACTTATAGTTCGAATTTCCAAAAAGCCCTTTGCTACATATATTCTACATTCCATCAGAGACCCTCAATTAGTACTTTTCATACCGTTCTAGTACGAATTTCCAAAAACCCAGCCTTATCTGACACCTTTGGACCAAGAGTGACACTCACCTAAAATTTCAAGATTATAGCTTTAGCCGTTTCGTCTGGGCGTTGATGAATCGTTAAATCAGTCAGTCAGTCAATCACTTTATTTTTTATTGGTATAGATTAAATTTGTACCAAACCCATCTCCTTAAATACATCTATATCTCAATCCTAATTCGCATTCCACATTTCAAGTTTTTAGCTCTATGCTTTTTTTTTATTGGTATAGATTAAATTTTTACCAAATATAGTACCATATAATACTTTTCGTACACATGAGTACACGCTTTCAAACCCATCTCCTTAAATACACTCTACATCTCAATCCTAATTCGCATTCCACATTTCAAGTTGTTAGCTCTATCCATTCACATGCTACGAATTTGTACCAAATTAAGTACATTTTAGTACTTTTCGGACCTATCCTACACTCCATCAGCGACCACCAAATTTCAGAGTTCTAGCTCTACCGGTTCGCCAAATACAAATTCGTTCTAGTACGAATTTCCAAAAACCCAGCCTTAACTGTCACCTTTGGACCAAGAGCATAGGTGCCCAAAATTGAAATGCGTTAGTATGTGTGAGAGAAAACTGAACAGTACTGAACAAAATTGTGTGTACATTTTTGTGGTCGGAAAAAATTATCGATGAATTTAATTTTTGTTATTATATAGATTAAAAGCATTATTAAAAATGTTTTTATATGAATTACAAATTGTATATGTTACAAAAATCAAATAAAGTTTATAAAGTAGCATATACTGAGATAATAGTCATATTATCAAATATTTAATTCTTGAAATAATTAAATATTTGATAATGTTATGTTTTGTTGTTTTTAAAAGTTTTAAAACATACAAAACATTGCGCCTTTCCAAACGCATTTTGAATAATAAAATAAAAATATACTGAAATACTTTTATCCCTAAGTGTGATTTCGTTGAATTTCTAGTTGTGTGGACACGACGTCGTGCGCGCACCCTACGTTGTAACTAACACAACGTTCGATTATTCCAATTTCCCGACTTTTTTATGTTTTTCTCAACATTTTTTCGTAAAAACCTTCCCAATGCAATCACAAACAGCCGAAGGAAAACGTGAGTGAAATCGGTACAGTCAATACACAATGCAAACATTTTTTACATCTATAAAAATACATTTGAGAAACCATAAAAGCAAACATAAGTTAAACACAAACAGCATGTAATGCGGAATTGCCTCCCCAATATAAGAAAATGTTCAATAATAACTTCGTGATTTGTTGGCGTATTTGTAATCGTATATAGCGAAATACTAACATCATTGAACTATATTGAATATATTGATAGACGTTTTCGTTTTTACTAAAACATAAAACAACATATGTCTATGTATTGTGCATTTTTTCTCAAAAATATCCCTGCTGTTGTTTCCTATTAACCCT